GAAACAAACCTGTTCATGATACTACCCATCTTGAAGCAAAGGACTTTGATGTGAGGCTACAGTCTGATGATTTTGATCTAAAGATAGCAAACCTGAAGAAAAGTCACTCTGCAGTATATTACTGTGCCTGCTGGGAGTCGGCTACCACAGTGACAGTAAATATTCACAATGGGTACAAAAACCCTGATCGTACACAACCACAACAGAAATATACATTATTATTTTTGCCTTTGCCTGTGACGTTGCAATTGTAATACTCTCTGGATATTGTTGCTCACTGCCTATTCTGTATGACCTGGAGCTGTTTATCACTGTCAAATTCCTTCCATTTCTTATTTGAAACTTTGAAACATAAGTAAATATACACATTTATAATTACTGTAGGTGGCTGAATGTCTTGCAGTTTTTATACATTTATTTTAAAAGTATATTTTTTTTTCTGTTCAATAATAAGGAAATAAAACAAGCAGGGGCTAATGCTGGCTGCCAACGTGGCCAATCCCCACCCCAGGAAATGACATCATAAGTTTATAAAAGAAAGACTGCAGATAAGCATTAGCACAAAAACCAATTGCAATAAAAAGTGCTGAGGAAACTTTATTTTCCAAATAAACAAATCAACATGTTTATAGCCATATATGCAATTCTCTTCTCCTTGATCAAAGGTAAGTATCATATCACTACAGTAAAAATATAAAATGAGAAAAAGAAAGAAACAGTGAAAAAAGAATGGCTGTATTACAGATGAATGTTTTACAGACGCTGTTCTCTGAGTGACACTGGAGTGCAAAAAGATCTCTCCATGACAAAGTTAGAGGGTAAAACTAGACATATAAGCTGCAACGTGACCGGATTATCCACCGATTATGTTCACTGGTACCAAAGAAAGGATGGTGAAGCTCTCACAAGGATCATGTATGTCAAGAAAGGAAGCAAACCTGTTCCTGATGCTAATCATCATGAAGCATTTAATCATGAAGGACTTCAGTGTGAGGATGAAGGCTGATAATTATGAGCTAAAGATAGCATGCCTGAAGAAAATTCACTCAGCAGGTTATTACTGCGCTAGATGGGAGTCAAGATACCACAGTGAAAATACATACTCAGTGTGTTAAAAAACCCTGATGGCACACAACCACAACTAAATCTCTACAGAAGTGTTATAACTATATTTATTCAAACACTGATAACATTTAGAAATTTCATCCATCCATCCATTCATCTTCTACCGCTTACTCCTTTTTAGGGTCACGGGGAACCTGGAGCCTATCCCGGGAAGCATCAGGCAGAAGGCAGGGTACACCCTGGAAAGGGTGCCAGTCCATCACAGGGCACAATCACATACACTCTCACACACCCATTCATACACTACAGACACTTTTAGACACGCCAATCAGCCTACCATGCATGTCTTTGGACTGTGGGAGGAAACCGGAGTACCCGGAGGAAACCGACTTAATGAAATAAATTATTTAGTTCAAAATTGAATTTATTAAACAGATTATAATCAGTAATTAAATGAATTAATATCAATAACAAGTAAAAGAATTATGCACTGCAATTTATTGATATCTGGGATACAGATTTAAAATTGCATTATAAATTGTATTCTTAGGCACGAATGTATAGTATACAGATTAAATTATCCACCGAAGAACTTATGTCCTAGGCATAAACCCAAATATTCATGGTATCCATGTGCAAGGCCATTCTGAAACATTTGGGAGCCTTACGTGTTCAACTTCTGTTTATTTCATTGACTGGGGCCACAAACAATTCTCCAAAACGTCAACAGAGGGTGCCCTTCCACGAATTTTTCCATGCTCATTTCCCTTCTGTGCATATAAATAACTCATGGAGCTCGAACTCAGTGTGAAGTCTTACCAGTTTACCACAATCATATGACAACAGCAGTCTTTTTTTCTCTAATAAAATGATAGATGAACCACCTGATATGTGAATCTGGAATGATCTGTGCAGGTGTTTTAAACTCCAATGCTAACAGACACTTCCTGGAAGCTATACCCATCTCATGTGTGCTCTCTCTTTCTGTCGTGGTAACTGGAGCCTATTTTAAGTTCATTAATGTGAAATAAAATCTATCGTTATATGTGGAACTTAGCTAAATTAGACAAGTATAGGCTATGTTTACTATAATATGTATTAGAGAAAAATTTTAGTCAAAAAGGCTCTTTCAGTTTTCAGCCACAAAAAAAAAGGAACTGACTGCACAGCTGATAATATAGTTAAACATACCCTACTGTCTTTAACACTGAAACTTGTTTTCCAGTTTATTTTAGGCTAAGGGATGGTGGTGGCAGCGACATTTAGCTGTTGTCCGGACTGTACTGTTTGATCCTTGTTTTCTTTTCAGCTTATTACTATTACTTCACAACATAGCATCCATAGCAATCTTTTGGGCAATTCCATGCATTTTAAGCTGCAACATTTCAGGAAACCCTAAAGGGGGTTACGCATACTAGTGAAGACTGACAACATCACAGCGATATTTTATTTCATCCACCAGGGGAAAACAAATTTGCAAACACTGCTGCAGTAGGTCGGTGCACATGCACTGTCTTCTTCCTACTACCGCAGTTAGAGAGCTGAAGCTCTGTCTTGCAGTGTTCCTGTATCTGAGGATTAGCAAATTTATAAGGAGTTAGTTCAGCTAATGTGGAGCAATTACAGAAGAGCTTAAGTTGCTCAGTTTGTGAACAGTCAGTCCAGTCACTGTCTGTTATGTATATGGAACAAATAAAGGCTTCTTCATCTTCATAGTGAATGAGAACAAAAGTAAACTCAAAACCCCAAAGAAGCTTGATTAAAATTAAGTTTTGAAACCTGCAACTAAAATGATAATTAGGTGGTCTAAATGAATGGGAAACTCATTCCAAGCATAATAATCAGAACTTAAGAGCTAAATACTACCGCAGTTAGAGAGGATTCCTAGAACTACTACGAATATAGCATTATTGCTATTATTGATTTTATGTTCAGTAATAATAATAAGGAAATAACAAATACACCAAACGTGTTACTGGTTAATGCTGGCTGACAAGGTGGCCAATCCCCACCCCAGGAAATGACATCATTACTGTATAAATTAGATTTATGTTCTAAATGCACTAAGCGCACATTTTATTTTACAACCAAATCAAAATGTCTATAAGCATATATGCTCTTCTCTTCTCTTTGGTCACAGGTAAGTACAATATCACAAATGTATGATAAATATAAAAAGAGAAAGAATGTGGAAAAAACAGAAATTTAATACAAGAATTGTTGTTTTACAAATGAGGTTTTTTTTTTGTTTTTGTTTGTTTTTTCCCAACAGAAGCTGTTCTGGGAGTGACACTGGAGCAAAAAGATCTCTCCATCACAAAAGATATAGGCAAAACTGTACCTATCCGCTGCAAAGTGACCGGATTATCCTCTGGTGCTTATGTCCACTGGTACCAAAAGAAAGAAGGTGAAGCTCTCACAAGGATCCTATATGTCAAAAGAGATAGCTCAGTTATTCGTGATAACCATGATGATGCAAAAGACTTTGATGTGAGCATACAGTCTGATAATTATGATCTGAAGATTGCAAGCTTGAAGGAAAGTCACGCCGCAGTTTATTACTGTGCCTGCTGGGAGACAGCTACCACAGTGACAGTAAATATTCACAGTGTGTACAAAAACCCTGATGGTACACAACCACAACAGATAGATAGATATATAAAAACCCCTTCCTGGCGCTGGAAGTGTAATATTAGATAACGTTACTACTGTAAAAGGTTTTAATTAACAGGATCCTGAGTATTTAGCAGTTGATGGTGAATTGGCTAACCTTTATTTACCAGTAGATGATGTTACAGTATAACAGGCATAAATGTATATAAATGATTTAATCAAGAAAATAATAGCACGGTGCCTCCACTGACGAATTACCCCATTCACCCACTATGAGCTACAGTGCCTTGCGAAAGTATTCGGCCCCCTTGAACTTTTCAACCTTTTGCCACATTTCAGGCTTCAAACATAAAGATATAAAATTTAAATTTTTTGTGAAGAATCACCAACAAGTGGGACACAATTGTGAAGTGGAACGAAATCTATTGGATATTTTAAACTTTTTTAGCAAATAAAAGACTGAAAAGTGGTGCGTGCAAAATTATTCGGCCCCCTTTACTTTCAGTGCAGCAAACTCACTCCAGAAGTTCAGCGAGGATCTCTGAATGATCCAATGTTGTCCTAAATGACTGATGGTGATAAATAGAATCCACCTGTGTGTAATCAAGTCTCTTTATAAATGCACCTGCTCTGTGATAGTCTCAGGGTTCTGTTGAAAGCGCAGAGAGCATCATGAAGACCAAGGAACACACCAGGCTTGTCCGTAATACTGTTGTGGAGAAGTTTAAAGCCGGATTTGGATACAAAAAGATTTCCCAAGCTTTAAACATCCCAAGGAGCACTGTGCAAGCGATCATTTTGAAATGGAAGGAGAATCAGACCACTGAAAATCTACCAAGACCTGGCCGTCCCTCTAAACTTTCAGCTCAGACAAGGAGAAGACTGATCAGAAATGCAGCCAAGAGGCCCATGATCACTCTGGATAAACTGCAGAGAACTACAGCTGAGGTGGGAGAGTCTGTCCATAGGACAACAATCAGTCGTACACTGCACAAATCTGGCCTTTATGGAAGAGTGGCAAGAAGAAAGCCATTAGACATAGTCATAGACATAGATGTCCTACACAGAAAAAACTAACAAGCAACAACCACATGAAAGCAAGTGACTTTGGTGGGACTCAACCCCACAAGCTTTGAATCGCTCTAATGCTGAACCTAGAAGTCCATTGCACCACAGTGCTGAAGCTACTGTGTTGTGTGCTGAACACATGTCTGAAAGCAAATAGCTCTGGCTCATCCAATCCAGGCTTGCTGGTGTTTCATCTTGCCCGTAAGAGGGGGATGGAAGGTATTGCTCCTGCAGCAAGAAATCAGACCTACAGCAGGCACTGCTGGGATTTGAACACAGGATCTCCTGTTTACAAGGCAGGCAGTTTAACCAATTAAGCCACAGTATCATATATGCTAGAGTTGATCTTTCAGAACTGAATGCTGACTCTTAGTCAAGCTACAATTTACAGACATAGATGCCAGACTTAGATGACATATTAAGTCATCTACTCAACTAGATATGCAATGCACATTCTGTGATGTCAGTTTCAGAAAAAGATAGTCTAGACCAGTGGACCCCAACATTGTTCCTGGAGATCTTCCTTTGAATAACTTACCTCCATCTAAAGTAGCCTAGACATAGGTTTCCTACACAGAAAAAACTAACAAGCAACTCCTATCTGTAAGCAAATGACTCTGGTGGGACTCAACCCCACAAGCTTTGAATTGCTCTAATGCTGGGCCTAGAAGTCCAACTCGCCATCCATTGCGCCACAGAACCAAAGCTACTATGCTGTGATGGTGTTTCATCTCAAATTCTTCCACATTCAGGGAGGGCATTGTGCTTTCCTGTACCTGTTTAGTAAACAGGAGTTACCTGTTGATAGAACAGACTACATGCAACACATGTCTGAAAGCAAACAGCTCTGGCTCAAACAATATAGGCTTGTTTCATCTTGCCTGTAACAAAGGGATGGAAGGTATGGCTCTTGCAACAAGAAAAGAGACCTGCATCAGGCACTGCTGGGATTTGAACCCAGGGTCACCTGTTTACGAGACAGGCACTTTAACCAACTTAGCCACAGTGCCACAAAGCTTTGAACCAATATTTCTTGACTGAATGTTGACTCTTAATCAAGCTATGACATATTAAGGCATCTACTCGACCAGCTCCATCTAAAGTAGCCTAGACATAGGCATCCTACAGAGAAAAAACAACTTTTTTTAAATTTCATCTCAGGGTCTTCCAAATTCAGAGAGGACATAATGGTTTCCTGTACTTGTTTATTACACAGGTAATTTCCTGTCAAAGCACAGAATCTAGCCTAGGCACATGCATCCTACACAGATGCGGCTTTGGCAGATGCATATATTTTATTTTTAAGAACTTAAATTTAGCACGGCTAAACATATTTGGAATATCTAAGATCGAGTGTAATGAATTGCCATATTCAACAGAATTCTTCAACATGGAATTCTTCTCAGATGTAAGGCATCTACTCACCCAGCTATGCAATGCACATTCTGTGGTGTCAGATTCAGAAAAAGATAGCCTAGTGGTCACCAACCCAGTTCCTGGAGTTCTTCATTTGAAGACCTTAGCTCAATCTAAAGTAACCTAGATAGATGCATGTATGTGGTTTGTGCCTGAAAGGTGCTCCTGTGTCTGATTTGAGGCTTGCTAGGATCCTCAACCTATGATAAACCACGAACATAGGTCAAGATATATATCTACTGATTAGTTTCAGGTATGATCTCTGTTTTTCAATTCTGATGGTTTCTAGCATAGTGTCATAAAGAACCAAGTTTTTTTGCTTTCATGGCATGTGTTGTTTTGAGCATTCTTATTTATCCTGCCTTTGGCCCTCACTCTATGTCTTGGTTTTTCTTCTTCTCTTATTATCCTATTGCTGCATCTGCTCTCATGGTCACTGACACTGAAAAATTGGTTCTTTCACACCTTATCTATCCTGATTAACAATCAGACACAGCACATGACTGCTCAGCGTAGATCAGGATATGAAGCTATCCCTTGCGTCACACACAACCTCACCATTAAATGTTTAACCACTGCTAACAGCCCTGCAGTCTTGCTCCACAGATTTCTACATGCCTGCTCGGTGGAGCCCGCACTTGAAGCTTGGTTGGTTGGAGCTCCTCATCACTCCACTCTGATATGTCACAGAATCCCCTGAAGGGAAGGTATACGTCAATGGATCGTGTTCTAAACCTAATGACTCATAATTTTTATGTGGCTACTCTGTTCGTTCATTACCAAATATTGTTCATGTGGCTCACTCTGTCCAATTTTGCTCAGGCTGTGGAACTCGCCCGTGCTTGTTATCTTTTAAGACTGTTACTATTTACACTGATTCACATTATGCTTTTCGTGTCGCACATGATATGGCATGATATGATAATATATTGGTATGCTCATGGTTTTGTGCCACTGAAGGTTAACCCATTTCTCTGGTCTTTTAGAAGCTTTGCTCTTTCCTGACAGGATTGCTATTGACTCCTCTAACACAGAACAGGCCCGTGGTAATTCACTTGCTGATGAAATAGCTAGGTGGGCCCCGAAAGATAGATAGATAGATAGATAGATAGATATATAAAGGAAGTAAGAAATTGTAAATGACTTTTGTTTCTTGTACAATAGTGGACTCTTGTGTTCACTTTAAACCATTGTTGTCCATAGAGAAACTTTTAAATGTTAGAAAATAAAAGTTTATATTGGCAAGAAATGAGAAAATGGAATTTATTGAGCACTACTTTGATGAACATTCATATGCCGTGATTTTGGATATCCTGTTAATATACCAAGACATAAAGATTAGCTTGTGCTCTTTAAAAACACACCTAAAGGATGCAGGTCTGTTTAGAGGGAAAATTACTCCCATTAAATGAAGTAAGGAATGCTATAAGAGCAGAGTTGTGTGGACCAGAACAGTTATTCTGCTGGCTCATGCAGTTAATGGTTCAGCAGAAACAATGTGCATGTAAAACGTGATGATGTTATGTGGCTGCTGCAAGTACTTAACCCACAACGGACAGATCAGAGGACACGCCGTAGATTTGTTACATTTTTATCTTAACCACAGTACGGACAAAACATATTAACACATGCACACACGAATGGACTTTCCAGTACTGGTGCAGGCTGTTGTACTTCCTGTATATCTTGATTGACAGATGTGTCATCCAATCAGTGGTAAGTAATTCATTCACAAAATATGCATACCTTTTCCCCTTTGTCAGATTTGTTAATGTGTTTATAATTTGTTGTTTTGTTTTCGGAATTGTTATTTTGTTTTCATATTTGTGTTTTATTTTGCACTTGTTTTGTATTACACGACAAAATAACAAATACAGCTGGGTTACAAAATGCATGTCTGGGTTAACACTAGCTGAAACCCTAGGAAATGACATCATTACTTTATAAATGAAAGACTCGTGTTCTAAACTAGCATTAATGCAAAACCGGGTGCAATTCAGTGTGTTAAAATAAGAGCATAGTTTATTATTATTATTATTTATTTATTTATTTATTTATTATTATTATTATTATTATTGTTGTTGTTGTTGTATCCCAATCAAAATGTTTATAGACATAAATGCTGTTCTCTTCCTTTTGGTCACAGGTAAGAATCACATTAGAGCAATTAAAATATGAATGAAATATAGAAACAAGAAAAGACAACAAAATACTAGAATGGCTGTTGTATAAATTTGTCTGGGAGTGAAACTCAACCAAAAAGATCTCTCCATGACAAAAGAGATGGTCAGAACTGTTGCAAAGTGAACGATTTGTCCACCACTTATTTCCACTGGTACCAAAAGAAGGACAACAAAGCTCCCACAAGGATCCTGTATGTCAAAAAAGATAGCCCACCTGTTCGAGATACTAACTATCCTGAAGCAAACAACTTTCATGTGAGGGAAAAGTCTGGTAATTATGATCTAATGATAGCAAAATTGAAGAAAAGTCACTCAGCAGTTTATTACTGTGCCAGCTGGGAGTCAAGCTACCACAGTGATAGTGAATGTCTTGCATCCTTGTTGATATAGTGTTCATGCTCGCTGACAGAGTGGCCAATCCCCACCCCCAGGAAATGACATCATTACTTTATAAAGGAAAGACTCATGTTCTAAACTAGCATTAATGCAAAAGGTGCGATAAAAATTGTTGAACTGAAACCAAACAAAAATGTCTATAGGCATATATACTGTTCTCTTCTCTTTGCTCACAGGTAAGTATCAGATCATAACACTAAAAATATAAAAAGAGAATGTAAGAGTAAAAAAAAAAATAGAACACATAATACAAGAATGGCTGTTTTATGGATTAATGTTGATTACAGAAGCTGTTCTGGGAGTGACACTGGTGCAAAAGGATCTTTCCATGACAAAAGGAAAGGACAAAAGTGTGTATATCAGCTGCACTGTAAAGGGATTAACCACCGATTACGTCCACTGGTACCAACAGAAAGATGGTGAAGCTCTCACAAGGATCCTATATGTCAAAAAAAATAGCCCAGTTGTTCGTGATAACCACGATGAAGCAAATGATTTCGATGTGAGGACACAGTCGGATGATTTTGATCTAAAGATAGCAAAACTGAAGAAAAGTCACTCTGCAGTTTATTACTGCGCCAGCTGGGAGAGAGATGGCACAGTGACATTAAATATTCACAGTGTGTACAAAAACCCAGATGGTACACAACCACAAGAGAAACTCCATAGCACCAAATGTATTTAGATTTTTTTATATTCTAATATCTTCACTTCACTTCTACGTTATTTGTCCCCAAGCTTCAACTGGTTTTATGGCAAGACATACATACAAACAAGACAATGTAATACTAACATCATTAAGAAGAAGAACATCACTATTATACTAACAAAACTAACCTAAACCACCTCCCTTACTGGAATTAATAAGGGAAACGGCAGTAGGAATAAATGAATATCTATTGCTCTTTACGGGGGAAGGGCATGGGCACTGACTGATAGGATAGATTTGGCTTTCCACACTACCTGTTTGTTATACAAATCAGTGAGATTCCTTTGCTGGGCACCTAGGATTTTATTGCTGACCTTCACTATTTCAGACAAAGCAGTATTTGCCTTGACAATGAGATTGCCATACCAGCATATTACAATTTTTTTTTATACAGACTAAATGTAGGATTTGTAAAAAATTTAATAAAATAAAAATAAAAACGGGTCATCAAGATCTTATCAACATGATCTTTTGACATTTTATGTAGGCAAAATAGGAGTTGCTGACCCTTTTTATAAAGCATCTCTGTGTAAAAGTTAAAAATCAACTTATTGCCAATCAGGCTACCAAGGTACTTGTATGATTCTACAACTTCAACCACCTGCCCATTAATAGTAGTACTCTGGGAGGAGACTGAAAATAGCAGTATCACACTTCATGACTAAGGAAGTCAAGACAACAAGCCTAAAGTCATTTAGTGTTTTTGTTGATGTCTATGTTTGGATACTGCAAAAACTGTAGAAGGGACAGCTGGAAATATAACAACAAATAGGGCCTGGTTGCTCTGCAAAAGAGATAAGCAGGCGACTACTCATATTTTCAGGGCCAGGACTTTTCCTTGATGTGGAGTGTTTAAACATACTAACCACATCACTTTCACCAAAGGGAGTAAGACCACTGTCAGACATAATAATTTTCTGCTTTAAAACTACATTTTTAAAATTGTGGGTGTCAAACCTCAAATAAAACTTAGTAACTCTTTGCGAGCTGATAACATC